CTTAATCCAAACAAACTCTAATCAGTTGCCTACCTGTTACCCGTTTACTATTTACCCGTTAAATATAAAGTACAACAAAAAATAAGTGAAAGAGTTATAACTTATAAATTCGTTGCACCCACGTAAAAATGGTGGCTGAAATAATTGTTATTATAAGTTATAACCCTTCAACCCAATTATATATTGCAGTACCTATACTCGATGATATAGACCGGGTAGGTTAGTGTATAGCTGCTTTGCTATACCTAGGTATCCGAATACTTGGGATAGGGTTATGTTTTATAGTTTCCGAGTATTACAAGGGTTAAATCACGGCATGCCTTTTTAATTAAAACAAATAATTTATTCATTTTTCTGGAATATATTATCTTCATCTAATACAATTATTGTATGCATATTAATTTATATAATTTATATACATTTTAACTTTGCTGCAGAAAATATATAGTATAGTCAGAAATTTGAGGTTTCATATTACTTTTAGCTACACATTTGTAATAGAATATAATCAAATATGTTATGTATTATGCCATTGTACATAACTCTTAACATTATATTATAAGAATATTGTCGTAATTTCTCTTAAGTTATGATAAAATAAATTATTCTTAGATTAACAAGAAATAAAAACATGATTACATAAACATTTGACATTTTATTTTATTTCAACAAATTAAAAATATAATATTAACAAAAAAAACCCGACTATGAATTTCATGACAAGTGTCATCAATAAGTCTAACCCAAAAGTTAAATACACAACAAATTATTAATGAAACTAAAAATAGTATATACCTATTGACTATGTGTTAAAGAAAATGCAATCTATACACAATACACATTATACTGTTTGTACATGAAAACTAAAAATTAATTTAACTATTCGTTAATAATATTATTTCAAGAACTAACTTTAAATATTATTGAGGCATATTTAGAATATATTTTTTTGTCAAATTAAAATATAATTATTAGAAGGCCTACATAATATTCTTTGTTTTATTGTTCATAATATAGCAGACTTCCAATATTATAATCAAGAAGACACTACACCTATAGATGCTGCAAGTGTCTTAAACATTGTACTTGGAAAATATGAACAGACAAACAGTACAATTTTATTTTGTAATTGTCCATCTACAGCCTTTGATAATTATAAATTATAAAACATCTATCTTATATTCTAATTTATTAGGTATATGATTTTATAAATTAATTTTTAAATATGTAGCACACATTCTGGTATTATGCAATCATTGTATATGATAACTTTGTTATAAATCCAAATTTATCAACTAACACAAAGCATCCAGAATATTTTTTTTATTAAGAGAAACGTCACAATTATATAATATGTAATTCATACAGTAGTGCCTTTACAATTCCATGTCCATTACAAACTGACAAATCAGCATATTAATTTACAAGCATAAACCTAACATAATAAATTCCTTATTTTGTTGTTAACAATAGTAACACAACGATAATTCAATAGGTAAATACATTTTTGTCACCCGTTTAACTCAGTTAATAGTTACACATTAAATCATTTTTTTTTTTTTGTATTTGGTACAATCAATAAACAGTCAAGTATTTCCAACATTCATATTTAACATAAATACATGAATTTAAATATAAAATTGTCGATTATTCTATATTTTAATTTAGTTTTCCCAAATTATACCTGAGTATATTTTAACAAACCCATAATAAACAATTAACCATCTAAGAAATAATTAAAATATGTTACTCATCGTCAAAATCTGTACATCAGATGTAATTAAACTATTTAATTTTTGAGCTAAAATTATAAATTTTAAGTACAATAAATCTAATTTCAACTTATTTATTTAATTTAAAGTGAAAATACAATTTTAGTATAAAATGTATTAATATAAATTGGTATAAAGTATTGAATTACTGGCAGTGCTTAATATAAGTTGGGAAATAGTGTAACCATCAGCCAGTTTGTAATAAACCATAGCAATAATCAGAACATTTTCTAAATGTTTGGTATATTTTTAGATGTAAAACATAATAAAAAAGAATTCAAAACCAAAAACTAAATTGTGGCCGTATAGTAATTATTAAAATAGGTTGTTTGTTAATAAGACATCTAATATGTTTTAAAATAAAGATAATAAATATTTAATAATTTTTGAACATAATGAACTGAGTCTTATGTCAATGTGTTTTCAATAAAAATAAAAAGAAATAAACGTCCTACTAAACATAATAAGAAAAACTTGACTAGAATAAGAATAGTCTGTTTAAACTTTAAACATAGTTAAAGAATTAAATGAAATATATTTTAAATATTTTGATTTATGTAATAAAAGACTTGTGAATTGTGATTAGATGCGCAAGAAAATTTAATTAAGAAAAGTAAATTTCAAAATTATAACAAAACAGTTTTTTACAAATTTATTAAATACACACAAATTATACATTACATAATATATAAAGTATGTATTAAATTATCACGAATATTTATTATTAATATAATAACAATTTATTATTTTAACCCTACAATGCATGATTTTTTTTTACTTGCATTTAAATGTGTTATAAATTTATTTTTAATCTATAAAAATATACCTAACCTATATTATATTTGAGAATATCTTTTCATTTTTATTAATATTAATAATAATTAATAATACATAATCTATTAATTAATATTCACGAAAAGATATTTTTTAAAATTTTAGTATAGTTTTAAATATTTTATATACAAATTAATTCATAAATTCATACTTATTTACTTAACTATATTCAAGTTTTTGGGAAATGTATTTAAATGAAAATTCCTAATGAATAATCTTATATATTTTAGATATAATAAATGGAGCAGCTCAAATAAATATTAATAATTTCTTTGAACCCTGTTAAGGTACATATCAAACATAAACAGTTTTATAATATGAATTTCATAAAAAAAAATCTAATAGTGACAAGCATAATTAATAATAAAAATATTGAGATTTAAAGATTTATTTGTACATCATGAAATATTGTAAATATAGGAAACTCACTACACTGGCAAAGCATAAACTATTCTTGTTCAGATTCTCCTTCACTTGAATAGTCTTGTATTGAAATAGGCCGTGAAAATGGCGTGATTGTCATTTGACTAGATAATAAAAGATAGAAATAAACCATTTTGTGCTTATAAATTCTATTTATATTATTCTTACGCTTGCTTTCTATAATAGTTTAACCATTCCTCAAGCATTTGAGCAACCAACAATGGTCGTTTATGCAAACGCTGTCGAGCTAATAACAAACCATTTTCTGTTAAACAAACGTCTAACCATTGTTTTAAAATATTCTCTTCATGTCCCATCTAAAATATAAAGATTAAACAGATAAATAAAAAAATTACGTTTAAGGGAAAAATATATCAAACATTTTACTTCGGATTTTGTAACAAAATGTATTGGTAATAATTTGTGATCATGATCAACAAGTGGCAAGTATGTAGTACTCTTTCCCCGAGGTAATGGTTCAACAGGCACCAGTGAAGAAAAATGTCCTCGTGTATAAGCTAAGGTTATTGGAGATTTAATACAAAAACTAGATTCCCATAGAAGTGGCAAATAAACACCTAAAATCAAAAGAAAAAAATTTTCAATTTAAATATTTAAAACATTTGAAATAATTAGAGATATTTTTGAACAGATAAAACAGCATTAATAAATAGTTCACTTAAAATTGTATACTAGAATATGATTATCTTAAAGGACCATACAACACAAAAATCATATATTTTTTTTTTGTCTATTATTATTATTACGAATTTGCATAAACAAAAAATGTAAATAAAAGTTGTCAACGGTGATTCGTTCTATAGTTACAGCGTTTAACAAATTACGCGTGACATCATAAGATCCAACTCTACGGCGCACCGAAGCGGCGGCCGTGTATTTTTATCCGGGAAAGGTATAACGAGGTTTTATTTTATTGAGCATAGGTAATATACCATATCATAATATTTTTTAATAATTATAATGAAGTTCTTATTATTTAATATATTTTTATTATATTATTGAAGCTACAATTTTACGGGATACCTTCATTATAATTTTTCATAAAAAGTTTTATTTTATAATTTTATTATTAAAATTAAAATTTTACAAATTTAGATGGTTTTTATACTAGGATTATTTACGCAATTTTTCTTATGTTTTTTGGTACCGGACATAAAATTTAAAAATTAATGATTAATATTTCGTTTATTTTGTTTGCTAGTCAAGTTATATGCTTATTGCTAAAGCTTATAACAAAATATTTTTCTCTGTGAATAAGCTTTGAATTTTCATTTAACTTTAGATTGTGAAAATGACGCTGTGCTCTGTTTTTAATTGTAATGAAAGAAGTGAAAAGCAATCGTCATCTGGAGTTCATTTTCATGTGTTTCCATGTCATTCAAAATCACCTACTAGGTTTCGAAGTTGGGTCAATTATTGTAAACGAAAAAACTTTAACCCCAGTAATGGCGCGAGAATTTGTTCAAAGCATGAAGTGAACCACAAAATAAAGTCTGGCGATACTTGGCTTACAAACAGTTTATTTTGTGGAGAAATGCATGGACAACGATTGGAAAGGGAAATAGGATAGTAATTCCATCATGTGTTATTTATAAAATAACTGTCTTATCCAGAAGAAAATGGTGTTTATGTAGGATTTCGGCCCAATGATAAACTTCCTACCTAATTTCTGTATTTCTAATTACTCGCTGTATGTACAAATATTATGTTTTTTTTTTTTTAATGCAATACTTATAATAATACTAAATCAATTTAAATTGTTAACAATGTTTGTATACGTACTTGTTATAATAACAATAATAATAATAAGTTAATAAATAATAATGGTTAATACGTAATAAAATACATTGTTTTGTTACTCATATGAACCAGATATTATTCGTCTTAAATAAATAATAGCATAGCATAGTATCATATCAAAAAGATAATAATTACATATTTAGAAAAATTATGTGAAAAACAAAAGTATAGGAATCAATTTACTAAGAACAGTAAGAAGACATCTGATTAGTAACAGGCACGCGTGTACACGTTGCCGCCGCGAGTAGGATCTTATGACGTCACGCGTGATTTTAAAGACTTCGTAACTCGAAAAATATTTAACGCAGAAAAATATTATTGGTACCATTTTTTTAGTCAGATTTTTTGTGATTTTTAAAATAAAAGTCAATTTTGAGTGTTTTATGGTCCTTTAAGATATTTAGAATAATATATGCATGGTTGAATTTATAGTGATACAAACTAAATATTTCATAAACTAAATGCACATACTATAAATATGAAATGTATTACCTTCAAAATTTGTATAACCTAAACGGTCTCCACGATAATTTTTCACATATTTAACAGCATATACAATAATTGGTCGACGCAGTACATGAGCTAATGCAAATACATGAAGTTGAGCTAAGCTGGACCCAGGCCTTTCAGCTTGAGATACTAATGCAGCCCAATCTTCAGCCCATTGATACTCGTCTAAACAAAATTCTAACTGTTTTGCTTGCCATGCTTCATATTCTTTCCATCTTGGATAAAACCTAGATCAATTTCAAACCATAAATTAATTAAATCAAAAATAATTTATAAACTACTTACATCATGTTGCTTTCATGTAAACAATCGGCTAATGCTTTCCTTAGTATATTGTCTTTATCGAAAATACCCCAGGTAGATTGCATTAAGGAATCCAGTAAACAATCACCAGCTGAACGATTCCATAATGCATATAGTCTAGAACATAATCCATCACAGACTTCAGATGACCAATTAATCACAGGAGGGACTTCTTCAATTTCCAACTCGTGTTGAACATTGCGATCAAGCAGTTCATCGAGTAGTTGCCTTTGAACTGGTCTTGGAAGTTCTTCAATTTCTAGAAGTTGAAAAATATTTTTTAAGATTTAATAGATTCTTATTGTTATATATTTAATTAATTTACCATAGGGTAGGGAAAATGTTGCGAATTCTGTAACAAATGGACACGGCATTAGGGATTTTCTTACACGTATTGTTGAAAGAAAATGTTTTCCAATCTCATCTGCTAGTTGATGGGCAACATGAGAAGGTACTCGTTTTACAGTTGTTGAACTACTAGTAGCATTAATTCCATTCAAAAGATTTGATAAAATTTCTTCACGATGAAATCTATAAAAATAAAACAATATTTGGATACTTGGCTTATAATAATTTTAAAATATATACTTTTTTATGAATAATATAGAACCCTGAATCAAAAAAATATTAAACATTTAATCTAAAGTACTATACCTAATCAATAATAAGTATGATTATTTATTTTAAAATAAAATACCATAATAATTATAAACATTACATAAACAACATTTACAGCGGAAAATAAATTCTTAAAATAACAATACAAGTAGTAGGTAGTAGGTACCAACATAATGTTAAATATGATTTACCTACTTATATACAAGCCTATTATCAATCATAATAACTAAAAATAATAATATTAATACTTTACCTAACAGCAAGGTGAACTAATGTGTGTCCAGTATCAAACGCTGATGGTCTATTAAGTAATGTTACTTCAGTTGATGTCAATGACCTGGTTGGATCACCACCTGCGTGTAAATAAGCTGCAATAGGACTCCAATCACCTTGAACTACGCCTACACAAGCAGCGAGCCAAGCTCTATCATAGTTACTATTAATGTCATCCAAACGACGTCTTGACGAAGATCTACAATAAAAGAAAAATTATTTGTGGGTACAGAATTTAAAATGTAATAATACATCAATTAAGTGAATTGAGTGAATAAGTTTTGTAACACCTGACGCATTAACATTTATATATTAATTCAATTTACAAAAAGATGTTGGTTTTGGGTATCTGAGGAATATTTTTTTTTATTTTATAGAGTAATGAAGTTTAAGAAGGATATTATACAAATATTTTTATAATATTTCATTATTAGTGCAAAATTGTTACATTATATTATTAAATAGGTTACATGCAAAACAAAACAAAATTAAATTTATATAGATTAAATAAAAACAAAATGTAATTATGTAAATTATAGAATAAACTAACCTTTTTAATGTACAAATATTTGAATCTGTATTAATGGTTGCTGCTAGGTCCTTCTCTGGTGACTTCACTCGTTTTGTTATGATAGTGGGAGGTTCACATAATGAATGATCGGGTGATGGTGATGTTTTACGAGGTCCTCTTGTTCCTGTTAAATAGATTTAGTCATAGGTATATCAAGTTTTAACAATGACCAAAAAATGTTTTACTTTATTTTATTTTTTTATAAAATCATTAAAATAGAAATCTTACCACACATGATACATTTAAAACTTTTAGGCCAATTTTGATATGTACAAGCAGCACAAGACCATTTGGTAAGTGCTCGTGTTTCTAAACTAGATGAAGCCTCTTCATTTTCTGGTGAATTAGCTCTATCACTGATCTTCAAATCAGTGTTGAATTGTTCGTTAAGTGCATCAACTAGATTGCTATCTATTATTTTATCACGGTTATCAATTTCCCCAGACGCTAAATTCACGACAAAAATGTATCAATAGGTACCTAGTTGTTAATAATTATTAAATAACTAAATTTACCTTCAATTAGTTGAGTTTGAGGTTCAACAGGAAGTTCATCTCTAAGACTATATATGTCCTGAGCTTGGGACAATTGCAGTTTGGGTCTTCTACACATGACACATTTCAGTGACGAATGGTAATTATCATAAGTGCAGACATCACAAGACCATTTGGAATTGATTTGGGTGGTCATTATTGATTTTGAATCTTCAAATTTGTATTATTTAGATTCAAAACTAGAACTCATTCATAACACTGCAATTTACAATAAACAAGTTAATGTCACAATACGTCAAAATACAAACATAACTATAGTAAATATTTTTAAATTAATTTATGTTAAGTGGTGGCCTACATTTAACAAGAAAAAATTTTTTTGGGCAGTAATTACGACCTATATAGTTAAAATATATTAATAATTTCAAAATCAAGTTGAAGGTTTGGCTCGCCGCCGTCAAAATATGCCCGACTATTTTGCGACTTAATAATATCGTTCTTGTGACATAGCGGAAAGGAAGAATGCGGCAAGATGATCCATACCACTTACTTGTAATGTAACTGGATAAGAAATGGTTTGATGCCAGGATCGTAGGCTATACGGACAAAAGTTATAATGATTGTGCATTCGAAATGTATCACCACAGTATTTTAATAATAATATACAATTAATAATAATAATAATAACAACAACTAAAACTAAAAAACAAAAACAAATTTACTAACAACCATTACCTACGGGCCACAGGAAAAATTCTGAATAAAAATAAAAAGAGAAAGACGAATATGATTACGGTGATAAGATGTTTTTGTTCGCAAGTCAACACGGTAAAATAGGAAAAAAAGATACAAAGCAATCTAAATTATCGGCCGTGTCGTCATTACGCACAAGAAGTTAGGAACGTGCCAACAGCTGATGCCGTCGACGTAACTCGTAATAACAATTTATTTATATAATTTAATAATAATTATTATCATGTATTATTGTACATATAACTATACCATATTATTATTATTATTATTATTATTTTGTTCTTTGTACACCTCCTATATTGCTAATTTATTTCTATCGTGAAATTGCTTATAAGTTATAAGTATAACACATGGACATGGACTATTCGTCGTACCTACCATTTATGCATTGTATTTACTATTTAAATATTTAATTTATACATTAGTAATCCTACCTACCTATTATTTATTAATGAAAAAATCAATTGTTTTGCAATTTCTCTTAGGTATAATGCACAGTTCTAGAGTGTTATCAATCCCACTTATTAGACGTGACGATCAAATATTTAATGAAATTGTTAAACAGGAAAACTTGGATAATCAAGTATTTAATGGAATTATTATAGAGGAAATTATTGATGAAACAGACAATCACGATGATAGTCAATTACTATAAATAGAGTATGAATTAAATTTACATCAACAATGAGGTACAAATAGTATGGAATTTTATGATACATTTGATAAAACTTTTATTTGTATTAATTTTTTATGATATATTACACACAGGTTCTATAATATTGCCATTCTCACTAGTCACTACTCAGTACTCACTACACAAGTTTCATAGCAGAGTTTGCTAATGCACTATCTATATAGTTTAGCACCCACACGAATTTTTCAATTTTTTTTCGGTTACCTAAATGTATATTACAAGTTACAACGAATTAAGAAGTTATAGTAGTCACTTCACCAGTTTGTATAGGTAGTTAAATTTGGCACGCGAACTACAACAGAAATAGAAAACCAGAATAGGTACATTGCAGATCACAAATATTTCTGTAAATGAATATATATGATTTATCAATATACCGTATAGGTATTGAGTATAATATATAAGTTCTATGAATTTATCATAGTGAATAATATATTTTATATTATCATCTATGGCAATCGTCAATTTACAACATTCGTCGGTGACGATTAACAATTCTAATAATTTCAGTGAATAAAAAAAATAATAAGCCTATATTGGTTCGTTAAGCCGTATGCCTATAATATAATATAATGTAAGTTTTAACATAAACTCGCACATTTCGTTATGATCTGGTTGTTTTCATAGTATATTTCGATATTTTCAAGGTGCAGTTCGGAGCGAGATGAAGATGAATGAAGATAGCTGTTTCTTCGGCCACGGCGCGGCGGCCCTCTAGCTAGGTTTTAATGGAACTATATAGGAAGAGTCGATGTTTACGAGTAAGTTTGTTTTCATTTTATTTTGGGGCTTAAATTTACTTTTTAGACTTAAATTAAATATTTATTGCCATGGACAATATGTTAAGTGAGTGACGTAGAAGAATTTCTACGTTTAATCCCAAAAGCGCAATGTATAAAATACACGAGACCGAACAGTCCAAAGGCCGTCTTCGTTTCACCACGCCAAGTTTTAATACGTACCTTTGGCTTTTTGCCAGTGCCGGCTCTAGGGGACGACAAATGGGACATAATATGTCCAGGGCCCCGCGCTTGTTAAAGTGCCCCGCGATTTTTAATTATCATTTTAATACCGCGAAACACATTGACATTTTATATTAACAAATTATAAATCTATACATTTATTTTATTTTTTATTAGTTAACTTGTGGAAACTTAGGCCATTGGGTGGTTTTTAAACTATGGGGGAGGGAACAGTAGGTGTAAAACGTGTGTGTAATTTTTGGCCGATTTTCAAGTGGGCACTCGTAGGTATCTGCCATGCTCGGGTGCGGGATGGCGGCACTTGTTTTCCGGAAACCATGACTTGCCCGAAGAAAAATGCCTCCCGCTGCCAAGGTTTTGAACCGGCGTCGGTGCGCGTCGCCTTAATCCGCTCGGCCCCTCCGCCCCCCTATACATTTATTGTTCTATACTACACATGTATAATATTAATATTATTCCTATTTCCTATCATCAGTTATCTGGAAAATTATATCTAAATTTACCCATACTACAAAGTAAATCGTTATCGATACGACGATGGAGTAATATTTTGAGGATACTCGAGGATTGTACCCTGTAGGCATTAGCGGATAGGTAATTTTTGGACTACCTGGAAATTATTAAAAGGGGCCCCCAAATGAAAAACAAACCCTTCTCTCGCAGGTACATTATTTGGTGAATTATATTAACTACCATATCAAAAGGAAACAATGTATAACAAAACACATTTTTAAAATCATTTATTTATTTTTTAATTTTAAAATAATAACAACCGTGACCGGGAGATGGTATTTTGCTCCAATTTAATTACTTGTAATTTGCACTACCAATACAGTGGCGTCATTTCAGTTTTTATTAGACTATAGGGCAATTGTTCACTGCTTTTCAGACTCAACATTTTTTCACTCTGCAGATTCTCAAAGCATATTGCTATAGAAGTAAACAGGGGGGGCGTGTGGTAAATGTGCCAACTTAAGGTTAATGTAAATACTAGACTGGGGCAAATGCAGACACCACAGTACAACAGACGCCACTGTACCAATAGGTACATTTAAGCACGTATGTAATTTGCGCCAAAATATACAAATTTAACATGTATTTGGCGCCACCTCTAAAAATTATTTTGAATTCAATGATATAATATCATTGTATAAGAAAAACGATTCTGAGCGGAGACAGTATGTCAGTCTAGGTATAAGACATATTATATACTTATCTATGGTATTAAAAAAAATTGACCTATAATAAATTCCAAATTAATCATATCACAATATCCATTAGGTACTTATAACGCGTTCTACATCAACAACAAACCCTGATACTATCATAGATATATAATAGTGTACTTTAGAAGTTTCAATTACCCACGAATAATATTATACAATCAAAACAAAATAACTAAAATAGTTATTCCGTATCCGAGGTTTTTAATATGTAATTTCGTTCAAATTAAACTTAAAATGACTATAAAAATAAACTGTGACTGTATTTTTTAGATTTTTTACAAAATTAACTACTTACGTGGAATCTTGTTTTAAATTTTCATACCTTAGATATAAAAGTTAAACATTTTATATATTTTTAACTACAAAATAATTGTTCAATTTAAATTTGATAAATTTTGTCAAAATACGATCTTTAAATGCATATAAATAAAATTGTGCCTATGTATTTTTAATATTTTTCAACTGCTATTGTAACAATATATCAGGAGCCTTGTATTAAATTTTTACACTTTTTGGCACTACAGATAAAACTTTACTGATAAGTGATATTCATAGAAAAAAATTAAAAAAAGGTGGGCAAGTGCAGGTGTCGCTCTGCTGTACAGTAGGTTACAAGTGGGTCACTGTATAATGGATGGTATTAAATTTGAATTCAATGATATAATATCATTGTATAAGAAAAACGATTCTGAGCGGTGACGGTATGTCAGTCTATGTATAAGACATATTATATACATATCTATGGTATTAAACAAAAAATTGACCTATAATAGGTACCTATAGGCTATAATAAATTCCAAACTAATCATATCACAATATCCATTAGATACATATAACGCGTTATACATCAACAAAAACCGTGATACTATCATAGATATATAATAGTACACTTTAGAAGTTTCAAGTACCCACAAATAATATTATTCAATCACAACAAAATAACTAAAATCGTAATTCTTGGTTTAAATATGAAATTTTGTCTAAATTTGAAATTAAAATGTCTGTAAAAAATAAGTGTGTTTATATATTTTTTAGATTTTTTGGTTACAGTATGAATTATTTAAGAGAATCTTTGTTTTAAATTTTCAACTCTTAGTTATAAAAACTGAACATTTTATAATTTTTTAATTCCAACGATTGATAATTTTCGAGATTTTGATAAATTTTGTCAAAATTCCAACTTTAAATGCTTATAAAAAAAAATCGTGCCTATGTATTTTTAATATTTTTCAACTGATATTGTAACAATATATCAGGAGCCTTGTATTAAATTTTTACACTTTTTGGCCTAACAGATAAAACTTTATTGATATTTATAGAAAAAAAAACTAAAAAAATTGAAAGCTGTAAATGTCCATAAACAGCTCAAAAAGAGTCAAAATATTTTCAAAATTGTATGGTGTATAGAAAATGCTATTTTAAACATTCAGTGAAATTTTCATGTATCTACAGGTGTTCGTTTTTGAATTGCAACAAAATAAAGAAATCGCTACATGAGTAATCGAGTGAATATCCAATGTTGTAAAAATTTGAATTTCAAACGCTCATAAAAATTAAACTTGACTGTCCGGTAGAGATTTTTTTATTGATAAAGGTAGATAATCTTATAAGGAATCTTGTGTTTCATTTTCAAATCTTAGATTTAAAAAGAAAAATTTTTACGAATTCTTAACTCAAAATAATTTGCTAATTTTCGTGATTTTTCCATATTTTGTAAATTTTTGAACTTTAAATGCTTATAAAAAAAAATTGTGACTAAGGATTTTTAATATTTTTCATCTGCCTTTGAAACAACATATTAGGAGCCTTCTATTAAATTTTCAAGCTTTCGCAACCAACAAATAAAATTTTATTGATATTTTTAGAAAAAAAACTAAAAAAAAATGGAAAATGAAAATGTCCCTAAACAGTTCAAAATAAATCAAAATATTTTGAAAATGTTATCGTGTATAGAAAATGCAATTAAAAACAACCAGTGAAAATTTCATGTATATACGTTCATTTGTTTTAGAGTTACACCAATAACCAAAATCGATTTTTTGGAAAACCAATTTTGCGTAAAAATTCCCGTTTTTCCTTAATTTTTATGTTGTTTTTCCCGGCGCTTGTGAAAACTACTGGGAAATTTATACTTTTGACCCCCCAAAGTACCAACTAGATTCACTTTCCTATCAGAAAAGCTACTGATGAAGAAAATCCAAGCACTTTTACTGTCCTAAAACGTGATGACAGACACAAAAATAAAAAAAAAAATTAAAAATTAAAAAAAAAATAAAAAATAAAATAAAAAAAAAAACACACATCATTGTAAAATCAATACATTCATCGTTTCACTCAGAATCTAAAATTGAAATACGAAATTGTCCGTAAACAGTTCGAAACAAGTAAAAATATTTTGAAAATGTTATCAAGTACAAAAATTGATAAAATAAACATTCAGTGAAATTTTCATGTATCTACAGTTATTCGTTTTTGAATTACAACAAAATAAGGATATCGAGTGAATAACCAATGTTGTAAAAATTTGAATTACACAATTTTTCATACACATCATTTGCATTGTTTAGTGATTTTATATCTTTGAAATTTTGTGAATCGAACGATAATATTTTGTAGTTCAGTGCAGATAAATGTGTTGCAAAATGTTCGTCTGTCACTGAACATGTAGTTATGACTGATATGAGTATATAACTATTATATGAGGTATAACTTTAAATACTTATAACCAAAAAACTACGGGTCTGAAATTTAGTTTATATATAGATCTAAATAATCCAAAACATATATTGCTTCAAAATATAAAAATAAAGGGTCATGTATTGTAGTAGCCAGTAGGTAACTATCAAAAAGACAAAAAATAAAACCATACTTGAAATTGATGTATAACATATGTATATTGTAATAAATGTTCAAATGTTTATCATAGTAAAATATTAAAAATCAACTAAAGTTTAATATAATACATTATAACAAGTGTTCAAATGTACAAGTTACACCACATATTTTGTTATTTCACACAGTCTCTCTTAATTTTCAAATTTTTCTTCAAATTATCCTAAATTATCTACAAAATATAAATGTTTAGTAAATTGGAAGACTTGATTGAGTAGGTATTCAATCATTTATCTAAAAGAGATGGGCCTGGTCGCCTCATTACTATATCGAGGGGCCATGGTGCAAGCGCTGTCCATAAATATCAGCACATATTACATTAGAAATACAAAATTAACATAACAGTAAATTATAAAAAAATATTACGAAATGTACTATACTCATATTATATTATGATTGTATTAGTTACAAACTCTTGAATTAAGAGTTATGATTGAGGATTTAATTGATTTCCTAAAAGGAAATGCCTCAAGGTTGCCTCTTTAGGTCGAGGAACCGTAGTTAAAGTGCCGTCCACCAATAAAAAACCAGAAAAAAAGAAAAAGAAGATTAATTCAAAAAACCTCATCATACACTTTTATAAAAGTATGATTGTGTTAGTCACAGTCTTGTCTAAATGGTATTGTCTTTTGTTTTCCCAATCTAACAATACAAAATACTGAACATAAATGAAATCACAAGTAGGTATTAATACAAATTATCCCAAATTGTCTACAAAATATAAATGTAAAATGTAAATTGGAAGATTTGATTGAGTAGGTATTTAATAATTTATCTAAAAGAGATGGGCCTGGTCGCCTCATTACTATATCGAGGGGCCATGGTGCAAGTGCTGTCCATAAATATCATCACATATTTTTTTACTTCACACAGTCTCTCTTTAATTTAAAATTTTTCTTCAAATTATCCCAAATTATCTACAAAATATAAAATATGTAAAATGAAAATTGGAAGACTTGATTGAGTAGGTATTTAATAATTTATCTAAAAGAGATGGGCCTGGTCGCCTCATTACTATATCGAGGGGCCATGGTGCAAGTGCTGTCCATAAATATCAACACATATTACATTAGAAATACAAAATTAATATAACAGTAAATTATAAAAAAATATTACGAAATGTACTATACTCATATTAATTATGATTATGATTGTATTAGTTACAAACTCTTAAATTAAGAGTACGATTGAGGATTTAATTAATTTCCTAAAAGAAAATGCCTCAAGGTTGCATCTATAGGTCGAGGAACCGTAGTTAAAGTGCCGTCCACCAATAAACTACCAGAAAAAAAAGATTAATTCAAAAAATAGAAGGTACCTACATCATAAACTTTTGTAAAAGCATGATTGTGTTAGTCACAGTCTTGTCTAAATGGTATTGTCTTATGTTTTCCCAATCTAACTATACACAATACTGAACATTAAGGAAATCACAAATATTTATACAAAAGAGAGACTGTGCGTTGATTTACAAATTGTTCTTAAATTTACTAAAAATTGATAATTGCATATTATTATTTATACTTGTGATATTTTGTTCAGTGATAATAATTTCTTATTTTGTCATTCAATAGGTACATTGTTAGGTCTCATTATTTTTATCATTTTGATTATTTCCTTCTAAATTAATGAATGTCGCCATTAGTCATTACCTACTGGCTACTCATTACCATCATTTATAATTTATAAGTATTACACATATTATTGAGTTCGTATATGGCTTGTTTTGCTTCTTCAAGTTCTGCTTGAAGTTTTTTTTCGGCTGCCATTAATTGAACTTTGTCTCTTTGGTCTTTACTAACTCCTTTATACATGTCTAATAATAATTTTATTTCTTTTTGATCATTTACAGATTTTCTGTAATATAAATACATTATATGAAAAAAACAATAAAAAGCAGTAAAGTATCGAATATAGATTCGTACCTATATGGTAGGTAACTTTTGTGTCAACTATTTTTTCATATATAACGATATACTCTGTCACAAAAAAAATCAGTCGGCCGACCGGTTTTCATCAGTGCCGCGTATCACCTACCAACTTCCCCGTGACCCCGTGTTAACATGATCACGTGGTTCTCGTCGCACCATTGCACCAATCGAATCATTCGTGATGCGCGAAAAGTGATTATTCTCTTTTGGGACAGAGTATACTTAAGTTGAGATTTCAAATCTCTGAGTGCTTCACTTTCCCAATTCCTAACAACGTCTTTTTGGTTGACAGGCTTTTGATCTGGAGTAGTTGCTGGACCTTTTGATGTTTTATTAGGTGTTTGTTGTCCGTTCATTTTTAACATTTTTGATATCAATTTTTTCATCGATTTGAACATTTTAATCTATTAACTGAGGTATACCCTTAAAATGGTTCACATGCTTATAGGTACATTGCTCGGTCTCATTTTGTATTTATTCTATAATTTTGATTAGCTCTTTCTAAATTAATGAATGTCGTCATTACCATAATTTATAATTTACAAGTATTACATATATTATTGGGTTCGTATATGGCTTAATATAAACGTACTTGATTGATGCTTGATATTGTCATACAATAAGAGTATAGAATACCTATTATAATAAATTAGTTAACCAAATTTTTCAGGTCCATTATTGGGTTTTTCAGATTCCGGATTTTCACAAATCTAAAAAAATAGGAAACAATTATTTTATTTAAAGTTATACATCATCACTCATACGTAAAATGCTAAACTTAATTATATTTATTTCTATCACAAAATAATCCGTTACAAAAACAAAATATATAAATACGTATTGACTTTATTGACATTCCGTTTTCTCGCGTTTCTTTTTTTTCTTTTTTTTTATTATTATTAAGATATTCCTAGCTAGAATAGCTATCTAAGCCTATTGATAATATATACACACAATTTTCTTACTTACATAAATGCGATATAAAAATACTAAATATTAATTATTAAATAATGAGTTAAAAACTAGAATTTTTCTGGCATGATGTATACGATGTGTTAGTGATTAGTGGTAGGACATTTAATTCGGTCGTGGGGTCTTCCTCTCTTGAGACGGTGAATTTTTGGTGGGTCTCGTGTTTCAAAAAATGGCAAACGATTCTCAACAATAAAAAAAAGAAAAAAAAGTAAGTACTCTCATGGAACACCCGGTAGAAACGAAGTTTATTTATAGTTTACAAATACATTTTAGTGGAACCATTCAAAATAAAATAATTATTTATAATTAAAAATTAAACATAAAAACAGATAGGTAGGTACCTACCCTAATACCTATGTTTATTTAGGCAGGGACTAAAACCTTAATTATTTTATCGGTTTGGATTAAGGTTTGGGTTTTCAAAAATTTTAAATTTTGGTTTCGGTTAATATCGATTTTAACCTTTTTTATTTCACTTATGATTTATATTTTATCAATTTAGTACTGTATAAATAATCAAAATATTAAAAACCTATATTTAATGACAGGTATTTGTAATTAAGTGTACATATTTCAGATTTTAGGTAATATAATATCATTACGATATAATATTAGCACTAAAACTATAAAAAATATACTATTATATTCAAAAAATTACTGACTGTTTATGGACTTTTCACTATATCTCATCAAAATATAGGTTTCGGTTTCAATTGCCAAAGAAATGTATTTAAGGGTTCCGGTCCAGTTTCGGTCCCAAGATTTTCAAAAGGGATCTGTACGGTTCCAGTCCCTGATTTAAACTTTTTAAAGATTAAATAAATAATTTAGTTTATATATTAAAATAATAAGGTTACTCAAATCCTAATTTATTTCAAAATTTATTTGATATTCTAAGAATATAATTTGCTATGAAATATAAATTGTAATTAAAAAAGTATTTTAAATGTAATTTATTTCTAGTCACTAGGTGTGTGGACATCATAATTGGTAGCATAACTATAAATATTAGTTTGGTAATTTTGGTCTAAAATAAATCTTGTATTATGTATTTTTAAATGTTTTCTGACCTTCTAGCCTATTTTTTTAATTAACCCATTTTAAAATGATTCATATTCATAGTTAACCTTTGTTAAATTTCCGATAATTTATGTTAATGCAAGGTTCTATACGATATAATACATTAATACGGTATTATACGAAAAACAAATACTGTGTTTAACATCCCTATTCTAAAAGTGTGCAATGAAAAATAAAATATTATAAAAATATATTAAGTACAATTCAACTAGGGCATTAACTAGTTAAAAAATTAAAGTTCAGTTAAAAAGTTAATTTTTTTTTAACTTTTTAACTTGACTAGTTAGTTTATTTTCTAATCAATTTATGAACTTAACTTGTTTAATTTACAGTTGAAATAACTTAGCTTTTCTCAGTTGATTTTAAAAAAATCTATCAAGTTAAAAACATTTTGAAATTTTTCGTTTATACGTAAATATTACTATATCAGTATAAAATAAAAATAATCCAACACAAAAACACAAACATTTCTGTTCTTTTTCTTGATAACATATTTTTGTGTATATTAATATATTTTATTAAGTTGTAAATTATATAATATGTGAGTTGCAATTATAAATGTTTTTAATAAAATTAATAATTTTAAATAACAAATTGACAATTGTTATATTTTAATATTATATAACTTATAATATATATGAACAGGGTCGTACTCAAGGGGGGGGGGGGTCGTGGGGTTTGAACCCCTCCCATGACCTTACTAACCGATGCACTTTTGTGCGTTCTTGTTTATACATAATATAATTCACAGGAGCAATTTTCTAAAAAAAAATTTTTAAGAATGAAAAAAATAAACAAATATATTTATTTTCAATTTTATGTCAACATGCATTATACATCGATTACAAGCATTATCTGTTAAGAACTGTATTATGATAACCAGATAAAATTTAAATCAAACATACAAGGTGTATTGATTAGTTGTCGTCACTTTGGACCCCTATACGTATACACTCTTGATTGAAAATATTACCACAGTTCTATAGTCACCAGAGCACGCTTCTTGTCCTACGAAGGCCTGTATATTCATTCTGTTAAATGCAAAATGTCTTAAAACTTCAGAATTAAAATGCTAATATTTTTTAAAATTGAAGTCAGTATTTACAAAAACATTGAATCATAAAAAGTTTTTTTTTTTAATTGAGTTGGTATAATAAATGTGGAGCCTGTAATTATACATTACATTTGTATTTTATTCATTGGCAATATTTTTATCGAGTAGACATCAATTAGAAAAAAATATTATGTATAATTTAGTCACTTCTTTGGATATTTGCATCCTTCTTAAAATTTTTAAATTAAATTAAAACTATTATGATTCTACTCCTAATTCTAATAGTAGTCTGGTAGAGTGGAGTATTATTTTCTAGTGCTCATAAAAAACTAAAAACATGTTTAAAATATTTTGCATATTTTATTTTATGATTAGGTATATTATTTATATTATAATATTATTCAATAATAGTTATCTTATAAACTTCAAACTAATTTTGAAAAATTGTTTAGTTTTTTTGGTGTTTTCTTGTTTTTAGCACCTTGCTCATTTTTTTCTTTTGTAAGTGAATATCATTCTTGTTTTGACATAATGCGTTATGATATATTTGGTTAATATTTGACTGTGTATTGAGCAACCAACCTTTGTCAAAAAATTTGTTTATATATTTCTTCAATAAATACAAATTATGTTAGAAAAATAATCAGTGAAAAATGTATATGTAGTTTTCAAATTGAAATGCAACATTAAAAACATGATCTTGTACTGGGACAGCTAGTTATATTTATTATATTTAGATATTTTACACTATAATCTAGTACAGTATTTCTCAATTTTTTTTGTCGTGAGGCTCCCTAAATTTAATGTAAAACTGTCAAGGCCCCCTTAATCAAAATTATTAATTGTTTTTTCTAAATTAGGTATAATATACTAAAATTACTTGTACTATTTCACACAGATTAATTATTAAAATGTATAGTAATTTAATATACTTTTGAAAAATATTAATGATAGTATTAAAATTTAAGTATTTATTCTTTTTCCATAAACGCTTAAAATCAAAAAATAAAAATAAAAATAAAATAATAACATTTTTTACTAGTGTGCTTGGAAGTTCTAAGTACATTGAACCCTACAATAATCTTAAAAGAAAACATGAACACGTTAATCAATCGGAATCGGAATATTGTTCTTTAAATAAACATTTTTCATTTTTGAAATTTATTTTCTGTAGAGTAGGTACATTATCATGTTTATATTTAATATTTGTAAAAAGGAGGTGACAAAGTCCCCGTGATAAAAAAACAAAATGTTCAACCCCCCCCCCCCATTGAAAATTCCTGAGTACGCCCCTGTATATGAAGGTCATGTACTTATCTTCACGTATTATGACATTCAATTGCTATACGATATAACAAAATATATTTGTTAAATTATTAATTTGAGATGAGTATAGTTTAAATTAGTAAATAATAATAAAGTAAAAGTAAAATGGTATACATAGTGTTCAATACAATTTTTTTTTATAATTTATAAATTAGAAACTATAGAAAGACACATTCACTCTTTATGTGATTTATATACTTATTAAAAAAAATAGATTAACTTTTTTTTAAACTGAGTTAAGTTAATATTTTTTTCTATAATAACTTTTAACTTATCGAGTTAAATTTATAATTTGTTAACTGTTAACTTTTAACTTATCGATATTGTGTCCTCTTAACTTTATTTAACTTGAGTTAATTATTTTCATTAACTTGCCCACCTATTTGCAATTCAATACTATTTTGGTCTACATCGTCGTTATTTTAACCTTCATTTAGAAATTAGAATAGTCAAACTATCGGTGTTCTCCTTCGAAATAATATAAATAATAAAAACAAAAATTAAAAAGCAGGTAAGTGGATGTCGCTCTGCTGTACAGTTGGGTCATTGTTTAATGGATTATATTAAACTTGAATTTAATGATATAATATCATTGTATAAGAAAAACGATTCTGAGAGGAGACGGTTTTGTCAGTCTGGATATTTTATATTGTTATTATTTATTATATCATGTAGGTTGAATTAATATTATAATATTATAATTTTTTATTCGTTTCTATGGTGATCAACAAAGCGCTATAATTCCCATTTTTAGCGGCAATATCAATTTAATATCCTTAGGTACTTATATAAAAAAAAAAAGATAATTGGATTTATTTGATACAATGTATAGGTAATAATATTTGATAAACGTTTAGGTTATAGCCTATAGGGCAGGGGTCGCCAACCAGTCGATCGCGATCGCCTGGTCGATCTTTCTAGAAATATAGG